ATATATATATATATATAATATCATTAAAAGAAAATAGTAGCATTAAAATTTAAAAGACTTTTATCCACTTTACCTAGACAATCCAAATAAAGCTTACGGAAAAGTCTAGTTTATTTGTCTAAAATCATGATTTTAGTTGTATGATGTTTGAATTTCTGTTTAATTTTACATTGTAATCTAATATATTGTTTGTAATTGGTTCGATTATGTTTGAGACATTTAAACTTACATCTTTAAAAAATTGTAATTTACTTTTAATTGTGAAAATTAGCATATTGCAATTTTTTTCAGATCGGTTTCGGATTCAGGTTCGGTTATAACCAACAGTGAAAAAGATGATTTTTACCTTTAACAGGTTCTTCGATGGAGATCCCCGATAAAATCCCCATAGAGATCGGGGCGATTACGAGAACGGTTTTAGCTATTGATTTCGGGTACTCTTTAAAAGCATAGAAACGCAAATTTCCGAAATTAAATAAACTAGTGTTGTATTTATGGTTATAATTTGGTTGATGAAAGGGAGAGAGGGTGTTAGGGTGTCGTTACTTCTTTTTATACTACCACTCTCCTTCTCTTCTCTCTCTCCCCTCTTACACACACTTGTGTGTGTTAATTGCCTCAAAAAGGCTTCGGGTTTCTGAATTCTCATCCGAATTTCGATTTTTTATATCGACAGAAATTTGTCACTGTGTGTTGATGATTCCAGTTGTTCTTTGCATTTTCCGATGGCGATTGTTCTTCTACTCTGTAAGTTTGAGTTTGAGTTTTCGTCTATATTGTTCTTTTAGATTCTTCTCCAGTTTATAATTTTTGCCTTCTTAATTGGTGAATTGATGTTACTGCTTGTTTTAGATAAGGTTCGTTGGTTACGTTACTCGATGATTTGGTTTTTCCGTTTCGACTTTTGTTGTTGGTTTCATCTGTCTGATCTGTTAAATGTTAATTGTAGCGAACTCTATTTGTTTATGTAGGTTCGTCCTAAGATCTGACATAATTTGATCGTCTTTTGTATATCTAAACAAAATTAATATAAATGCACCAAATTTACGTTCTTCGGTGATGAATTTGTTCTAATTGTCGACATTTTGGGAGTACAATTTGTTAAAGCGAAACGGTATTGGAGATAATATTTGCTGTTGTAGGATGTTTACTTTCATCTCGGTGATATCTGTTGCTGTATGTTCATGAAAGTTTGTGTGTTGGGTACAACTTGGCATGTGCATTTTCTTTCCCTTTTTGACAGTCACAAGCACCGCGTGTGTTCTTCTTCTTTACTTTTGTGAGTGTGTTTTGGGGCAAGGGAGGACACTTGCGTGAAGTACTGTGCTGGAGTTGTTGATTGTTCTTTCTCTCCGTTTTTCACTATGGGCGTGTGTTCTTTGCCGTTTTCAGAAAGTATGTTTGGCAAATATGAGAATTTGGATTTTGGGGGCTGACTTGCATGGATATATGGTTAATTGCAATCTCAAAAGAATAAACAGTGAAAATGAAGGAATCCTTGCTGCACATATCAGATATAAAGATAGAAAAAAAGTTATTGAACTGCATTTTCTGATGGAAATATGGAAAAAAAAGGCTTTCAGGAGTGGAATTAGTTTAGCATTGTGATGCCCTCTATTTGGCAGAGCCTTTTCAAACAGTTTCACTTGGTACATTAATACATATGCATTGATTCCTTTTCTATAGCTCCTGTAACCATCAACACAGAATCAATTTAACTTCTTTGCTGCCTTATGTCAGTCAATAAATACTCATATCACTGATGAGGTAAGACAGGTAAAATTTAGATATCAACACAACCTTAATTTAAGGTGTTTAAGCTGTTTTATACTTATATTTACGGCCTTTAATGCACATGGGAGTTTTTTAACATGTTCCACCTAACTATGTTTGAATATGATGGTTAATAATGTTAAGGATTCTAACCAATCTTAAGAACAAGATATCCTTTATTTATGGACATGTAAAAGCTACAAAAGACTCCATCGGTTCACCTACATATACTGTCCAAGGATGACTCAGTCTCCCCTGATTGCCAATTTCTTATGAGACAGAAGCTGAATGGGTTCTTTACAAGACTAAGAACAGCAAATGAGAATGAGGGAAGATAACACAGAATTGTAAATAATGTCTTGTCTAAGTATACGGTCCAGGTAGTTTGAAATAGAAGGCTAACTTACAGCAGGTACTTTTTTGAGCTGGAGGACTACCTACTGCTGACTGGTTAAAGGATGCTATAGTTGGTTAAGTCGGTCATATAATTGATTCTATTCATGGGATCCCACTCATACCCTTTGACCTATAGTGGAAGACTGTTCCTTTGAGGTAACTATCATATTGCAGATATATTCAATTGCTTGTGTTGGTGGAAATTCATGATCTGTATTTTAATATATCATCAAGAGCCTGTGTGGTGTGTGTGCATCCCATCAAGATGTCAAAGTCAACTCAAAGAGTTCATGAATAAATTATGTTTCCAGAAAGTAATTGGAATAGAATTGGATGTGCAATAAATATAAGTAGCTGGCTTGTCATATTTTGGTTGTTTGTCAGATTGTCAACTGATCCAACGTGGTTGGTGGAAATTAAAAAATGAAAACTGTTTGCATTTCATATAGTTTCTATATTGGGATGTGGTAGTAGTTTGGGAGGCACTTATGGCTGCCTTACACGAGGAAAACTGATTCCTCTTGTTGTATGAATAAATTATTTTTCTTTTTCTTGTTTCTTTTCCTTTTGGCAAAAAAACACATTTTTATTTGATGGGGATCTAGAAGAGAGATGTAATTGAAGATAAAATGGCCTAAAAAGGCTTGTGGTAAACGCAGTAGGGACCATAAAACTCTTCTTTATGGTATATCTTGGAGTCTAGCAGTAGCTATGCACCAAAAAAAGAGAAGATTGAATGTTGAATCAAGTCTGAGTAGAGTGACTATTGCTGATTGCGGGATATAAAATCACAAACTGGAGCATAACAAATGTTGTGTTGAAGTTTTCTTTATAACAGAAAGGTTTTTAAGTATTTTAGCATAAAAGGTGTAAATTTCTTTAAAAGGTAGTTGTTGATGTCCCTCTCCTTGGCCGTTCTTTTTTGACATGGAAATCTTAAATTGCTGAAATTGTCTGCATGCGTAGGATGGTATTTAGGTGCTGACTGACTTCTGGCTGCACCGCTAGAAGCACCATGAAATTTGTAACAAAGAAAGGACTGAAATCTATAGTGCCACTCCGTTTGAAAGGAAAATCAACGGCTCGTTTTTGTTTTTTCCCGAGAATAAAAGCCGAGTATGGACCAGGAAACACACCAGTTTTTCTCAATGTGTATGACTTGACTCCTATGAATGGCTATGCTTACTGGGCTGGCTTCGGCATCTTTCACTCCGGCATGGAAGGTATGTGGCTCCATTTGTTTGTTTAAATTGAAATTACATGGGAATCTCTCTTTAGTCTTAATATGATGTTCATAAGGATGCTTTTAAACTCTAGCTGATAAGCTAGCTTTTTTAAAAGCTATTTCAGGTGGCATTTCAATAAGCTCTAAGGGATTTTTTCCAAATTATGCCCCTTATATTGTTCCTATTAATTATTCATGTCTTTTTAGGTCATCTTACATCATCTAGCTTCTCAAGTAGTTATTATCAAACATGACTAGTTTATCGGCTAGTTTTTTTTTTACCAACAACTAGCTTTTTAACCAACCGCTAGCTTAACAGCTAATTTGCCAATCATAGCCTTGATTTTTAATACCATGTCACCACAAAAGCACTGCGCTCAAGGCTCCCTATCATCCATTCCTCTTCATATTCACAATTGAAATGTTATTTAGTCCAAAATCTTGATTCATGTGCACCTAACATTAGTGGACCCCGTCTTTTTTTAGCACGTGATCCGAGGGAAATGAGGTTTTTCCCTTATTTTCCGTTATGCATTCGAACAATGAAAATATCCATTTTCCTTCCTGTTACTTTCTACTATTTGACACAAACAGCTCTCATGAAGTAACAATTTTCTCGACAGTTCATGGTGTAGAATATGCATTTGGAGCTCATGACTACCCAACTAGTGGTGTCTTTGAGGTCGAACCTCGGCAATGCCCAGGCTTCAAGTTTAGGAGGTCGATATTAATTGGGACGACATGTCTGGACCCTGCTCAGGTCAGAGAGTTCATGGAGCATCATGCTGCAAACTACAATGGTGACACATATCATCTAATCGTCAAAAACTGCAACCATTTCTGCAACGACATCTGCTACAAGTTAACTGGCAAGCAAATCCCCAAATGGGTTAATAGATTGGCCAAACTGGGTAAATATTTCCTAATTACTTGCCACTTCTTCAGGAAGTCTATTCTCTCCCCGTGTTATCAACTCTTGTTAGAGGTTATTTTTGTAATTGTACTCCTGACAGTTACCACATTTAGTCATTGGATTATCTGTTAGTCACAGTCAATAAAGTTAGTTTGGCTTTCTGTTTAACTGTGTATAAATAGCAATTGTAGCTGGTGAAATAAACTCGTTCAGAAAATTCCCAAAATTACAATCAATTTCAGTAGCCGTAATATGGTATGAGAACACCACTGCTCTCGCTTTTCTTAATCATCTTTCCCGATTTGGTTTCCAGTGGTGCTTTGATGCCATATTACAGCTACTGCAATTGATTGTAATTTTGGGAATTCTGAATGAATTCATTCAATGTTATTTATATACAAGTTAAACAGGAAGCTAAACCCTTTTATCAACTGTGACTAACAATTACGACATGGATTAATAGAAGTATAATCACAAAAACATCCTCCAACAACTTTGGATGTAAAAGTGTGGGTGCGTAAGTTGCTGATTGATGGGGAAATTGCAGGTTCAGCTTTTAGCTGTGTATTGCCGGAAGCCCTTAAAGTGTCTGGGGTGCAACATGATCCCGGTTGCATAGCATATGAGAGTGGGAACGGGAGTGAAAATGAGAAGCGAAGGCTAAGAAGCAGTAGTTTTAATTGCCTAGCATCAGTTTCATCAAGGCAGAGACATTTGTCAACATCTTCATTGATATTGCAGTCACCTCTGAAGGGGTGCTTACCGCCATGGGAGTTGAGACGATCATGCGCTCAATGACTACTGGTTAGAGTCGATATTTACTTAATCTCTTAGCGGTGGTTTGATGGTTAGTTGTGTATGTTGTAATCAAAACTACCAGAAGGTGTCTGTCTAGTAAGTGGAGAAGTTTAGTGTGTCTAGTAACATGCACCAGTAGAGAAGCTGCTTATATCACTCGCATTCTCTTAATCTGTTCGGTTTCTCTTGCATCAGAAAACACCTCGAGGTTACCTTAAAACCATTCAAGAAACACAAAAAATCAAATGAAAAACCATGTTCATGATGCATCTCGTTTTTCTTCTAAAGATGCACACGGTGCGGTCTTTTTTGGGCCGAGGCTTTGGGTGTGTAAATAGGCTCGATCAGGCTTCTAGGCCTGGACACAATTTCAATATTGAACACGGAATGGAAGGGTTTCAATAGAGTTTCCATCTATAGAATATTGTATTATTATGCTAAAGTAATAGTTTCAATTGTCACAAGTTGGTTTTAGTTTTAGCTTTTACATCAGCAAAACAATGGTAGGACCGGAACCAGGTTACGGTTAGATCCATTTGTGCACTATAACAAGTTTATGGGAGGCGATCGATCCCACTTGGTATTCCTAAGAAACACAATCTTCAAATCAACACAAAGTCACCCACATAACCTTAATGAACCCGACATCATCCATCCATCCATCCATCCAGCAGCAATAACCACACAAACAGATTCCGATTAAACATCCTAGACTTAGACGGTTTCTCCGAAACCATCCTTTTCTCCTCAATGTCTCTTTCAAAGGTAATATCGACATTGAAGCGCTCGAAGTCGATGCTGCCATGCCATGTCCACTCCAGACTCCACAAATACATTTCCCAAATAATTAGACCATAAATTTCACTACTTTTTTTCCCTTTAACCAAAGAGAGTAAATAAATATGTACAGATGACGTATCGGAATCTATCGTTGACACAACAAACCTGCAGGAACAGAAAAGAGATGCTTCAGGATTACTTTCAATCAGCTTTCTATTTAGGCCACTAAATCAAAGAAATTCTGTGTGTATGGTTTAACAACACATTTTATTCATTTCGTTTCCTGAAGTAACGATTACATGCAGCAGGAAACATCTGCATTGCTGTGTTTTCACCAACTCGACTAAAATGATAACCAACGTATTATATCATTTCGGAGTCTGCCCGTCAAACCTATCATCAATCAATCAATCGTCTTTCTCATGCAAAACATTAGGCCTACCATTGAGGGCCGCATGATATACGCGTTTCTCCGCTAAACCAATGTCTGATTTTATTAAGTTACCCTGCACACATAACCAACACCAACAACCCAATCAAACAATAACACATATACATACGATAAGCCCCAAAATGAATGTATACACATACCTCACGAGCCATCAATCTCCGAACATTTTCGGCATATAGTTTTGGATTATCCTTTTCTTCTTGTGAGGGGTAATAAATTGGCAACCTTGTTACCGTCATATTATTTACAAATTGACACAGCAGCAAGATCACATGACGCACCTGAGAATTGGACAATAGATTAAAAAATTTAATGCAAGCAATCATAGGCTGAATTATGATGGATTGGCAGTAAACCAAACAAGCCCGGTATATTGCACCTGAAGGTGGGGTTTGGGGAGGATGAGATGTAGGCAGATGTAACCTCTACCCCAAAGAGTAGACTGGTTGTTTCCGTGAAGACCCCGGGCTTGTGCAAAGTGTGCGGGGAAAAAAGGATAAAGCTTGCTCAAAAATTTGCAGAAAAAGAACATAAGAAGAACAAGGAAACTTGAAAACAAAAAGGCAGTGTTAAACTTTGAAAAACAAGTTAGAAGTAAGCGACAATTCAATGAGGCAACCAGATAAAACATAACCAAGGTAGGAATCGAATCCAGGAGGTCTAACGGTCAGCTCACTAACCCTACCCCCATCCTTCATCTCTCTCAATCTCTTCCTTCTGTCTAGGCTAGCTACAGTTCCCCTTCCCTAGTCTGCTACCCTAATCTTGCGTCTCCAAGAACTCCAATCAAAAGTCATGTTCTTGGAAATGCCTAAAGCCACCATGTCTAACCTCAGATCCTCATCCCAAGTCTTCCTCGGCCTACCCCTCCTCACTCCCTCAACCCCCACACCTTCTACCCTCCTCAATGGAGCCGCCACCTTTCTCCTACGAACATGAGCAAATTTAATCACCTCCATCTTCACTCTCTCAAGTTCTCAATATATCAGTGATGTGTGCAACTCCTAACGCCTCCTGATAGACCTCATTGGGTATTCTGTCAAACATGGTCCGCCCACATGTCCACCTAAGCATCCTCATTTTAGCAACCTCCAACTTTCTCTCATGCCCAACACTCCAACCCTTACAATATAATTAGTCTGATGGTTACCCTATGAAATTTGTCCTTCAGTTTTAGTGGGATCTTTTTGCCAAACAGCAGGCAACCCTCCACTTTAGCCACCCTGTCCTTGCAGGGTTGTTATGTCATCTTCGACCCCCCCCCCTCCTTTATTCTGAATCATGGAGCCTAGAAACTTGAAAATATCCTTTTGGGGCACCCTTTGACCTACGATGTTACCTTCCACCACCTCATCGATGCTCTCCTCACTAAAATTGCACCATAAGTATCGAGCCTTGGTGCAACCAACGCATCCTCTACTACTCCAACCTCTTTCAACTCCACCATGGACTTCCGCTGCTAACAGAATGTCATTCACAAATAGCATATACCACGGGATACTCCCTTGGATGACTGGATCCCTTGAGAAATCTCGTCCAAAATCACGGCAAACTTGATATGATGTGTAACTGTTCTTCTCACGACGAGTCGCTTTTGTATGGAAGATATGACAACATGAGAAATCAACTACATATATATAAATATATATATATATATACTGAATAGTAGTACTATAATACGATAAGCTATTGTTATAACAGGTTTTCTTCCCTTCTTTAGAGGCGTGAAGCTAGTAGGTGCACAGGCTACCACAGCCACATCTAGCACAAGTCAGTTCATGCTTTACACATGGGTTCATGACAGTTGTATAAACAGCCTTTTCGTTGAACTTTCAAAGTGGTTCCAAGAGCATGGAACTCAAAACTTATTGTCAATGGATATAATATCAAGGTCTAACTTGGCAAAGGGATTCATGTAATTGGTTGGTTAGTGGTGCATAGAAGAGTGTATTGTCCGTGAGGCCAGGTCTGCATACATCTTAAGCCACCCCGGGGTGCGCGGGCAACCCCACCTCCAGGTGAGACATATAGGCTCGTTTGGTTTGGCTTCAGAAGAGTGTATTGTATGTGAGCCATCTATTAGACAAAATCTCCAACAGTTCTATATTTTATTTTCTGGGTGTGGACATATAATCCACCATAACTACTGCAGCCACATATATTTTCTTCCAGACCCTCAAGGCCAAAACAGCTATTCAGTAATCAGCTCCCGAGTATAATTTTCCCTTTTTGTAAAACTCAAAAGATGGAGCAGCATTTAAACACTCACCCCAGTTATGGAATCCCATGCAGGGCTAAATCTCTCATAAGGATATCTCAAAATGACAGGAAGAACAGGAGCCTTCGCCAAAAATGCACCAGTTTTAAATGGAAGTATGTAATCCCCATTTGTAGTTGTCCCTTCTGTACAAGGAAAAAAAGAAAAATAAACAACTGCAAACAGCAAATTTGGATAAATGTTGAAGACCAAAAATAAATTATTGTGTAGCTAACAGATGAAGGAAAACTTTTTCACTGGCGTTACAGAAGAAAAAGGCAATCAAATGTAGAAGACATCAATATGATTTTTGAGCATTTAAAGAAGATTTTGCATGTTACAAATTGAAAACAAAAATTATGGAGCGCTCCTGTTGGATTACAAGTTAAACTTCAACTGCAACTTGGAACAGTACTACGTAAATTACTTCAAGTAACCACAAGGGTGGTGCCCGATTGGTTTGAGCTTGGGCTCCAAAGGTCAAAAGTGTCTGGAGATCCCAGGTTGGAATCCAAGGAGGAATAAAAATCTCCTTGTGGCCATGGAGGTTCAAATGCGGTGACTCTGGGCTACCTGCAAAGCAGCCAAGCAGGTGGTCGCCCTGGGAATGGTCGGCTCGCTTAGCGGGTTGGATATCTAGGTTAATTTTAAAAAAAATCACTTTAAGCACACATAATAACAAACTGCTGCAAACTGCCCAACTGGTAGCATGAATAAGTGAAATCAATTTCACTTTCATATCATTTGTCCCCTTTTTAACGAATAAATGCCATGTGTTCATCAATTAATCAAAATCCAAACAATTGGTTAAATAAGTGAATTGTAGATGCATACATTAGTTAACCCTCCATAGTTCACCAAAACCTAATCTCATTGAGGATATATATATATATATATATATATATATATATATATATATATATATATAGAGAGAGAGAGAGAGAGAGAGAGGGGGGGGAGGTTCAAGGGAAAACCTCAAAAAAATGAAAAATTGAGGAACACCCTGATAACCATTCATCTGGACGGTATGCACATATGCGTACAAGTAAATATAACTGTTTTTTGGTTTTATGCATGTGTGCATGTTATGGACATGTGCATATCGGACAAATTGCTTTCAAATTACTTGTATGCACATGTGCATACCGTCCAGATGAACGGTTACCAGGGTGTTCCTCAGTTTTTCATTTTTTTGCGGTTTTCTCCTGAACCTGACCCTATCTATATATTGAGAGGGGTGAGTTCATTTGTTAACCCAATATATCGTGTTAACTTTGTGAACCAATCCTAGCCTTTAATCTTTATAATCTATGGATAAAATTCATCATGGAATATTTGTAACAAATTAAAAAAGGATGCTGAATAAGTATAGGTGAACAATCATGAACAAAGGGTAATTTTGGAAAAAAGTAGGGAGGTTTCTTTTAACATTAATTATTTTCCGGTAATTATTCCATCGTTTTGAAACCGACATCAAGCTTTAATTATTCCTTCATTTATTAATATGTAATGTGTAACTTATGAATGGTGTGAATTAATGAACAATTGTTATATATGAGTAGTTTATAAACATTGTTCACCAATGAAAATATAACATATATGAAAATGTTCATTAGTGAACACATACCTGAATTGTATGTATGTGTGATAAGGAACAATGTAACTCCATCATAATATGTTAAACACACATACAATTTTCATTTGTGAAGGACATCCATCATAATATGTTAAACACACATACAAACTTGAAAAGAGCCAAATTTTAGGAACAATGTAACTCTCATATTTTATAAACATATTCTTACTAATTCGCCCCACTTATTGAACATTTAATAAACTATTAACCATGAACCAATATGGATTCCTATTGGACCATTTTGGTTTGTATAGTTAACACAAAAGGAAAGGTTAACAAAAGATGACACCCCTAAATATATATATATATATATATATATGTGTGTGTGTGTGTGTGTGTGTGTGTGTGTATATATATATATGTGTGTGTCTATATATGTGTGTCTATATATATATATATTTATGTATATCCCTTCTTGCTCATGGAGACCACAAGAGTACCAATGTGCACACACACATTCATCAAACACCAAATGCACATTACTTTCGCAAAACCAATGAGATTTACATAATTATATAATGCCCAAACTTTCTTTATTAATTATGCATAAACAATTGAACTGAAAAAAGAAGCGACAAAGGAAGTTGATGGTCAAAAACATTTCCAATATGTAGCTGCCTATACCAAGTTAATGCAAATGACAAACCCTAAATATATGCATTCCAGCAATTGGCAAGGATAAATTTAGTAGACCACTTATGTACATACAGAGCTTGGTCATCAAGTAGTAGAAGTGATTATAGTATACAAGACATCTAGTGTAAATCCCTTTAATAAGCATATTTAGTGCACCTAATCCTCTTTCCACGTAGGTAAAACACATAGAACCCACTTATCAGTTTTAAGTGTGTGGTAAGACGCCAAAGAGGGTAACTATACAGCAGGGACGGACCTATAGTGGTGCATATGGTGGCACGTGCCACCGTATTACTCCTCCGTTGAAGGGTAAAAAAAATTAGGTTTGTAAAAGGTGCAACCATATTAATCTGTTGTGTGCCACCATATGTATTTTGAAACTACAATGAGAACAAGTTTTATTTGGTAGAGTTGGTTTACAAGGCTTTTATTCCACCCCCTATCCAAGTTTGAATCCTGTTAGTGTCATTTTCTTAGTCAAATGGTGCCACCGTTTTGAAAAAAATATATGTATATTTGTTTCTTATAGTCAAACGGTGGCTTATAGTTTTTTTCTTATAGTCAAATGGTGCCACCGTTTGAAAAAATTTCTGGGTACGTCCCTGCTATACAGGAAATGAGAAACCATAATGGCCAATGCAAACAGAGATGGGAAACAGTAACCTGGAAAAAGCATCATCATGGGTGCAGACTTATCTCGGTGAGCTTCCTGAATTCTCTCATTGACAACAGCTGCAAGTAACAAAGTAAAAAGATCCAACAGGAATTACATTAAAGAAAGCTACTTGTTCAGAAATCATGAACTACAAAGAAAGGTAGCCGTTAGATATGCAAAGAACCTCTGTAAACTATCACTATGTTAAGAATCTAATGTAAACCAATAAACCATCATGCAAGATTTAAGAAATTTTTGCTGAGAATACGCAATGATTGCAGACAAATTACTTCCATAGTTAGTACTTAGGATGATTGTTATTAAGATAATTATTACATTATTAGGGTTATCATTCAACTATGTTGTTAAGATAAAACTAGATCCATTGCTAGACATTTATCAGTGTTATCAACTGATGGTTTACTATTTACTATATTAGGCATGTGTTTAGAATCGTAGAGCATATTGAAATATATCGAGTTTGTTTAAGTTCTTTGGGACATGTCTTTCTTCTCATATCCCCTGCTTCCCCCTTTCTTTGTTTCTCCCTTCACTCCACAAACAAGCAAAAATCTTGATCATTGATACAGTCCCAAGGAGCATACAATATAGTTAGTGAAGCAACATCTAAAATTTAAATACCTGAGACGCCCTTTGTATCTGAAGATTTCGACTCCCGCTGGACATATACACAACCAAGGCACTTGCTGAAAAACCAAAAAGGTAATTACAATGCAATGGCTCAACAAATTATTGCTCTTGAAACATAAAACATCACTTATAGGTCATTATGACAACCCCATATTTGTAAATAATTATAAACAAAATAGAAAACTACTTGTACTTTCGACATAAAAAATAAGCAGCATGTATCTTGATCCAGATATATCCAATGTATAATTTTAAATATAACACCTATTGCATTAACTGCATGCAATGATGAAAACAATTCATTTTTCCAAAGCCACAATCATGCCACTTGTGGTCCAACATTTCATTCCCCATCAAAAAATATACATATGTATCTTCTCTTCGTTATTTAGATTACCATATTTCAACTTGCAGATGTGAAAACAATTGGACCACAGCCGGTTTAAGAAATGCAGCATATACAAAGTACTCATCGATAAACAGACTGAGAAATTTTTCTTGTTCGATATCTTCTGCATGTCTAACCAAACAAACGATGAACAGTGATTAAACTCTTCCACCTGGTCAAAAAGCCTGCATAAAGTCCTGTTCATCACACCAGGACAATTTCAAATCATACACTCTATTCATTTGCATCATTTCTGTTTCCTTTTTAATTAATTTTTACTTTTAGATTAAAATGATTATCCAAATCTGTTAAATCTAAAAAAGTGCAGTCCTCGTCTACTTCATACAAGAAGCAAAAGAAACGGTATATGAAAAATGGAATGCTATGCACCATTAAATGTGATGCAAACCAACCTTATAAGGCCAACCAGAGGAAGCTTGCCCACTGATCTCTTCAGAAATGATAAGAAACAACAGGAACAAGTCAGTTATATTAGCAACAGTAAAATTTCACTGATTGTGAAGCAAGTCACGGACTAGTGTAACATGTGCATTTGTGGGTGAAAGAGAATGAACTAATGAGATATGCCAGCAACAGCTGCCTAACTACAACCTCAAATAGAAATAACTTTCTGGCTAGAGCATTTAACAAACCTTGGCAACAAAACTCGGAAATGACGAAGACATATGGTACAAAATATCCATATGTGACACATGGTTTGATATGATTACTCCAGGTCTTTCATTTTCCTCAGATTGGTCATTGCTATCCGCCTGACCATTAAAAGGAACCAAGATAATTAAATGCCAGTAACAAATATCTAAAGTTTAATCTATTAGGCATAATATTGTGCTAAGTGTTTCAGACAAGAAAAAACTGGTTCTACGAACGTAATAAACCAACATGGTAACATATCATCTTAATGAACTAAGAATGTTATATGCAACACATTGTATTAATGCTACACCCCAGTTTGGGACTTTGGGTTTTTCATCTCGTGGACGATGTCCTACACTAGTTTCATGCAAGAACTTCAATCTAGATGCAATGCGCTTGCAAAGTGGAAGAGACTGTCAGTGGGCACACACAATCAAAGAATCCGGGTACATAAAATGCCCTAACAACAATATCAGTATACTGTTTGGGGTGTCAAAGAAAGGTATCAGAGCGATCCTTATGCAATCGGGATGACGGTGCAAACCTCAATGAGGAGGATACATCTCTAGATGGTGTTTGTAACATCTTAGGTGAATCTCACATTGCCAATATATATATATATATATATATATATATATATATATATAGTAATCCCTCCCACTAATGTGACGCATTTTAAAACCGTAAGCCCGGGTTGTGACTTGCGGGCAAAGCAGAAAATATACTATGATGGTTGGGGTGTCACAAACGGCAATAATGTGCTGGGCACCAACACCTCAGTCGGCCAACAAAGATTATTGGATCTACATTGAGTTTTCCACCACTTTTACTGAAACTGCTACAACTCTTGGTTTTGTTTTAATTTCTCCTCAATGTTATGTTGAAGTTTGCACCAAATGTGTCATTATGTCAATACATAACACATGCATGTGTCTTTAAATATATGCATATTATGGAACACACTTCTTACACCTACAGAAAAGATAAAATGGTGAAGAATTTTATTTCTCTATATTGATCTTTCCTTCCCCCTTTTTGTGTAGAGTGTCAGGAAACAATCTACACAAAACTATACTTATGCATATCTATCAAGCAACCAACCAAGGCATTTGCTAGATTCCAACTCTGAAGTGCTGTAGAAAACACTCTATTATTCAAGTAGACGCAGGCTTTTAGTTGCTTATTCCACACCACCAAATTCTTAGACCAGGTATTCTCCAGCTTATTAACATCAAGAGTTGCCCGATATCCAACTTACCTCATCCTAGTGTGCTGCCTTATTCTATAACTTAATATTACAACATTGCGCCAGACTGCCAAAGTAAGATAGATTATAGAATTCTTGAAGGTGGCTATCGTTCACCTTATGTTTTACAAAATATAAAAGGTATTATTGCTAAAGTAAGTAGTTTACATGGTAAAATTTGATAGTTAGAAGTAAGGAGTTTTCATGACTGACTTTAAGGGCATGGAGTGCAAGAAGGCATATACTTCATAAATTGATCCTCATAGAACCCTACAGTATTTTTCCTGTTGCATGCAATTAATTGAGAAGGTAAAAGCAACCATCAATTACGTTTTTATGCTACCTATACTCCTTTAGATTCAAATAACATGATACGATGTAAATAAACGGTGATATGATTTACACAGATTGGTGCCCAGCCAATTGTTGGCAAGATAGTCAAACTTTAGAATAGACTACAGCGGAAAAGCTAGGTACCCTGTAAATTTTAGCCTAGCATTTAAGACGAAAACAATCAATATGAGTTAGCCAAGTGTTCTATTCTTTGTAGAGAAACTATTCAAAATCCTTAGAGAACAGCAGAGAATGATGGGTATGGAATGAATGCAATCACCATTCACCCATCATAATCCATAATCCCATCTTTTTTTACCATATTTCAAGTGAGCACAAGGTTCAGAAGACTGATCTAGGGGTTAATCATACTGCCATAAATACTCTTGCCAACAACTCCTGCTTGCCTGACTTCTTAATTAGAGCAATGAAAGATGGAATTATGAAGAAATTGGCAAAAACTAAAACAGTCAACTCATAAATTTGGGCACTTAAGAAGCTGTAAACAGAGATAGACACAGCAAACTGATAGCACAAATTTCATCACATTATATATATATACCAGAAAGCTACCTCATTGTTGAAACTTCCATCGATTTCTGGATTCCTCGAAGACTCATGAATCCAATAAAATCCAAAGGCGAAAAGCATAATCCTAGAAAGAACTCTTCCAGACCAAAAGAGAACCGTTCTCCTCCAGCCACCCATGTGAGCATAATCCTCCTGCCCGTCCTCCCGATTTGGCGCCATAAACAGAGTACAAACCCTACAAATCAAGTAGTACAAGACAACAACCGTTGTTGCCAGCACCACCCGTATCGGGAGGAGCGTGATGAGCGCAATTCCTAACAAAAACTTCTCGGTCCAGGGTAGCTCTCCACGTCCCATGGCGCCATACACATCGTGTCGGACAAACGCGGCGTATTTCTTCTCGAGCTCTTCGATGCTGGGAAGGGGTGTGGATGAGGAGGATTTGTCGGCGCCAGTGGTGGTTCTAGAGGTGCAGGTGGATGTGGTGGTGGTGGAGCTGAGGAGGGGGCTATCATCCTTCTCGGAAACGTCTTCAAGATTGGGTTGAGAAGTGGGAGATTGGGGTTTTGAAGATAAATCTTGGAGTTCTGAATCCATTTATGACGCAGACGTTAACCTTATTCGATTTGATGTTGATTTTGATTGTTTATATCTGATAGGAGACACACCATGTGGTGGATGAAATGGGGGAGAGTGGCAGTAGAGATTGGGTATTTGGGGATGGTGGTGGTGGCAGTGGTGGTGGTGGTGGTGGCGGCGGTGGTGGCGTACCGGTGGTAGATAACCCAAATTCGCAAGTAGAACCCCCCACCTGATGACAACGAGACACGCACTTTCCGTTTGCATCTCAATCTCTATTATTAATCCTCCCGGTGCTGGAGACGTGATTTTTAATTTCTAATTTTTTATTTTTTATTTTTTATTTTTAATTTTTAAATAACCAGGTTTTATTATTTTATGTTCACATGTTTTACCCCAAATTATACATTTCGTCAACAATACCAAAGACGTATATATATTTCGGGTGTCGTTTACTAAACATTTACTTGTTAAATGCTTAATGCATAAAATTTTTTATCGGATGAACATAAGAAGGGACAAGAATCTTATCGGGTAAGAGTTATGAGAATGATGGAGAGTCTTACCCGGTAAGTAAGGATGACAGCTCTTACCCAGGTAAGCGCTTACCTAGTAAATTGTTGCATTCGATATGCTTTTATGTTCTAAAATCTTACGCATATAATTAAATTATAGTGTGGAATCTATTTCTATTGGTAAGCGGCCATTCATGTAGTTTGCATTTTGTTACGAGGTTGGTTCCTGTAATATCCGATCTTTATATTTAGATATATAAATTCAAAAAAAATCAATTTATTATATTGATGAATATATCTTATTTTCGTCATATGTACGGAATCCTCTTTTAAAGTTGGCTCCATTCCCTGTAAGATAATTCGGATGCCTAGAGCACTTCGATAATGAATATCATTTTTACAAAAAATTTGAAATTTTGCTTTTTTTTTATTAGTTATCGAAATTGAGAAAGCTTCAGATTTTGTCAATTGGACAAAACGATAAGTTGGATATCTATTTTTTTCAAAAAAGTCTAGTCCTGCAAATAAAAAATTTAGAACCAGTATATCTTTTGAGGTAATCGTTAGGTTATTAAGATAACAATCTTTAACGTTCATCATTACCCAATAGGGTAATTCTGAAATTTCAGAAAAATCGAAGTAAGATATATCGAATCAATTTATTACATTATTATAAATATAAAACCATTTTTTATTTGATATTGTTAACTCTTAATTCGTTAACTCATAGTAATTTGGTCAATTTAGTTTTTATTAAAAAAAATTAAAAGTTTATATTATATTAATATATTTATTATATATTATTACATAACTAAAAGAGTACTCGTGCAATGCAGTGAGACACATCTCGATTTTAATATTCTATTTTATTCTTTGTCTCTGTCGATGTTATAATACGATTTTATGTGTTTTTAAGAAAATAATAATGATTTTTTTTGAATAAGATATAAATTTGAATATATCATAAAAATTTGAAAAAAATATATCAATGTTAATATTAAATCAACTATTTAAAAGTTCTCTTTTTTTATGTAATTTCTTTAATTTATTTTTTTATTATAATTTAATTTAAGTTTAATAATGAAATAATATATTTTTGGTTTAATAATCTAATATTTTATAAATATAATAATTAAGTATTCTGTTAGAGCTCAATGATTATCCTAATTATATTTTAGATTTTTTATATTTAAAATGAGATGTTTATCCTGTATTTGATTATGTTTATCTGCAGTTAGTTACACAAATTCATATATGGAGCTTTAATAAGTTGTACTTACATACAATTTACTTGTAATATTGAGTTTTAATAATATGCATTAATAAACAGTATTTTACGCATAAAAATGGTTTTTAAGAGTTTTTGTCAAATGTTTTATAATATAACTAGAAGCGTACTCGCACAATGCAGCGAGATACATCAAGATTTTAATATTTCATTTTATTCCTTATCTCAGTCGATGTTATACTTTATGTGATTTTGAGAAAGCGATAATGTTTTTATTTTTGAATAAAATATATGTTTGAAGATATCATAAAAATATGACAAAAATATATCGATATTAGTATCAAATTAACTATTTGAAATTCCTTATTTTTTTGTGTAATTTTTTAATTCAATTTTTTTTATAATTTAATTTATGTACAATAACGAAGTAATTTATAT